GAGGGGAGGGGAGGGGAGAGGGAAGCCCAGCCAGAGGCTGGGCCTTGTGGGGAGGGGAGCTCCATGCTGGAGGGGAGGGGAGCCCTGCCCTGGTCCTGTGGGAAGGGGAGGCAGGAGCCTCACCCAGGCAGGGCCCTGGGGGAAGGAGAGGGGAGAGCAGATCTCTTCCAAAATTCGACCAGTGGGTTCCCAGGGGCCTTTGGCCCAGAACACCCAGACCAGGTTGGCATCTGAGTGGTGGGCCTTGTGGGGAGGGGAGCTCCATGCTGGAGGGGAGGGGAGCCCTGCCCTGGTCCTGTGGGAAGGGGAGGCAGGAGCCTCACCCAGGCAGGGCCCTGGGGGAAGGAGAGGGGAGAGCAGATCTCTTCCAAAATTCGACCAGTGGGTTCCCAGGGGCCTTTGGCCCAGAACACCCAGACCAGGTTGGCATCTGAGTGGTTCATTCTCCATGAGCCTGTCCATTTAGCAGGGCACCAGCCCCAGAGGGGAGGTGACTCTGGGAGGCACAGCATGAAAAGCCCAAGTCCCTCAAACCTAAGTCGTGGAGACATGATGGAGTAATGGGGGTGCAGGAGCATTCCCCCGTGGTCTCTAGCAATAATGACACTCAAAGGAGGCCCTTAGGCGTGTGGAGCACCAGCGATCTGGTGCCTGTCCCTGAAAGGGGCCCAACCTGGCGCTTCAGTCCTGTGGGCAAGCGACCAAGGAGCTTGCGAACAGGACAACAGCGATGGATGGTGATAGGCCTGCACGGAGTGTGCCATGTTTGTCTTCCTCCCGGAAGAAAGAACGGATTTCATCTGAACTAAGTGCAAGCTGGTCGCCATTTTGGAAGAAAAAATTAGAGGACTGGAGACCCAAGTGTCGACCCTATGCTCGATCAGAGAGGATGAAGACTTCCTCGATAAAAGGCAGCGTTTAATCCTTCAAGCACGGCAGGCGGAAGAGCCAGAAAGGGCAGTACATGGCCAGGAAGAGAACTGGCAGCATGTAACTTCTAGAAGGGGAAAAAGGCCAGCATGGGAATCCCCCAATGCCACAGAGGGAAGTAATCGCTTTCAGGCTCTCTCCACAGGCTCTGCAGTGCTGAATGCTTTGGAAGGGACCTCACAAGGAAGAAACTGGAAGGGAACACCTTCTACTGGAAGACATGGGATGCGTAGTCCTAGAGATGGACCACCACCCCCAAAAGAAAACGACGGGTGGTGGTGGTCAGGGACTCCCTCCTAAGAGGGACCGAGCCATCCATCTGCCATCTGGACCTGGAATCTCGAGAGGTGTGCTGCTTACTGGAAGCTCGCATTCAGGATGTGACTGAGGGGCTTACCAAACTGATCAAACCTTCGGATCGCTACCCCTTCCTGCTTCTCCACGTGGGAACTAACGATACGGCCAAGAATGACCTTGAGCGGGTTACTGCGGATTATGTAGCCAGGATGAGGTAGACAAGGCTTTCTTAGGACAACTGAGAGAAGCTTCCGGATCGCAGGCCCTGGTTCTCGTGGGGAACTTTAATCCCCCTGGGTACGTCTACACTACAGCGCTAATTCGAACTAGCAAGTCCACATTGAGTGGACTCTGAACAGGGCTTAAGGATGACCGGAAGCAGTGCCGGCAGGGCATCAGAGGAGGACTTAGAGCGTGGAGATGCTGTCTCAGGCTAGCCGAGGGCTGCGCTTAAAGGGTCCCGACCCCCACCCCGGACAGACAGTTCTAAGGGGTGCCCCGCTTGCAAAGCAGTCCTGGCTTGGATTGCCCGGACTACCCACACGGGGCACATCACAGCACTCGGCCATCAGCCCGGCTGCACTGGCCGCAGGCTGCCATCTGGGGAGAGGGGGCAATCGGGGGGCTGCAGGAGAGCTTCCACCCCCAGAAGCCCGCAGAGCCAGCCCAGTCCTCCCCATCGGGGGCTTGTACCCCATTCCTCCCTCACCTCCTTCCACTTACCCTTCCCTAGCCCCCCCTTCTTATTGATGTACAAAATAATGATAACGTTTCTTCCAACATTGACTCTGTCTTTATTGAACAAAACTGGGGGAGCCTGGGAAAAGGAGGTGGGAGGAGGGAAGAGAAAGGCTGGGAGAGGGGAGGGCAACTAACATGATCAGGGGTTGGGAACAGGTCCCATATGAAGAGAGGCTACAGAGACTGGGACTGTTCAGCTTAGAAAAGAGGAGATGGAGCGGGGACAGGATAGAGGTCTCTAAAAGCAGGGGTTGGGTGGAGAGGGTGCATACAGAAAAGTTCTTCCTGAGTTCCCATAAAGAAGGACTAGAGGACACCAAAGGAAAGGAATGGGTATCAGGCTTGAAACTAGTAAGAGAAAGTTGTTGTTCTTCCCAAAGCAAATAGTTAACCTGTGGAACTCCTTGCTGCAGGAGGCTGTGAAGGCTACAACTAGAACAGAGTTTAAAGGGAAGTGAGATCAAGTCATGGAGGTTGGGTCCATGGAGTAGTCTTAGCCAGGGGGTAGGAGTGGTGTTCCTGCCCAAAGTTTGTGGAAGGTTGGAGGAGGGCACTTGGGAGCAGAGGCAGCATGCAGCACCACCACCCAAATGGGCAGCATGATGAGACCCAGAGGCTAGCAGGAATAGCCAAGCATTTGCTCTGTAACTCCCTCCACTTCATCTGGCATCTTGGAGGGATGATTTGCTCCACTCTCAGGGGCAGAGAAACAAATGTTGATATCTGATGAGGAGAGCCAGGCATCTGCCCACAACACTGTCTGAGGAAGCCAGACTCCTTGAGCTGCCTCGAGTTCTGATCACCAACAGCTTGGTCCTTCTGGGGTCTGGGTGTCTCTGTGTCCAGAGCCAGGGAGAGGCTGGTAGCTCCACCCCACCTATGCTGACTGCCTGGAGCCAGCCTCTGGTATGCCTGCAGCAGGCACGTGCAACCCCAATCTGCCCCAAGGAGCCATGTGTCCCCACAACCTGGAGCCTGGCCCTGGAGCTCCCAGAGGCGTTCCTACCCGCATGTGCTGGTGGGTGAACTGCTCCACCTGCTGTTGGTGCAGACTGGCCAAGAAGAGCTGGTGCTGCAGCTGCTGGGTCTGCTTGAGAGCCAGCAGGGTGGTGTCGGAGCCGGGCTTGACAAAGCGCTGTCCGATCCGCAGGTCCATGGGGACGGCCTGAGGCACCGGCAGGGAGACGCACAGGTTCACAGCACCTGGCACGGAAGAAGCAGGGAGAGTTCAGTAACTGTCTGAGCCAGGGGACAAGCAGGGCATGGCTCCCACCAGGGCAGTGGCACAGAGCCCTTCGCTACACAGGGGGAAGTTCAGCACCTGTTTCGCTCCTGGAGCACTGAGACCGGCTGAAGCTCCATGCAGCCCTGGGCTTGCGAGGGCCACAGCCAGCAGGTTTTGACCTGGATGCAGATCAGTTAGGCAGGAACAAGGGGTGATTGGAACCAGAGGGCCAGGCCAGGCCCATACCCAAAGTCCTATGCAAGAGCAACAGCATCTTCCATGGTCAGCAGTTCTGGAGCCCTGACAGCTGATCTCTGGGGACTCCAATGCAGTGAGCTCAGCTCACGGCTAGCTAGGAAAGGTTCTTGGCCTGCTGCATGGGCATCTGGTGACTTAGGCAGGGGAGGGCTTTGCCTTCCCAAACAGCTAGCATGGCCCTACCCACACTCTGCCCCCAGAACGCCTGTTGTAGGCATTATGGGGCATGTGTGTTGCTGCCCCCATCGTCTGCCCCCCTGGTGCTCTGGGCTAGGGAGCCTAGAGCAATGCAGCCTCTCTTCCCCTGTTGCTCTGAGAGCTGTGCTGCATGGCCTCTTCCTCTCCCTCAGTGCTCCAGGGAGGTGGAAAAGCTGCGCTGTGCGCATGCGCCACCTCACTGCTCTTCCCCTCCCCAGTGCCCTGGGGAGGTTGGGATGTGCTTGGTGCACTGCCCTGCTTCCTCTCCACCCCGTGAGGGGTGGGGCCTCAGCAGAGAGAGTGGGGCTGGGGTCTTGCCTCCCCCAGCCCCAACTGCACCACTACCCCTGTCTGCTGGCTTGACAGGATAGGTCTACCCTGCAATTAAAAACTCATGGCTGACCTGTGCCAGCTGATTTGGATTTGTGGGACAGAGCTTCAGGTTTAGGCTGGAGCCTCAACTCTCGGGTCTTGTAAGTGGAGGGGGTCCCAGAGCTCAGGCTGCAGGCCAAGTCCAAATGTCTACACCACAATTACAGAGCCGCTTAGGCCAAGCCCCTTAGCCTGAGTCAGCTGGCACAGGAGAGCCGCAGGGCTACGTCTAGACTGGCATGATTTTCCGGAAATGCTCTTAACGGAAAAGTTTTCCATTAAAATCATTTTTGGAAAAGAGCGTCTAGATTGGCACGGACGCTTTTCCGCAAAAGCACTTTTGGCAGAAAAGCATTCGTGGCCAATCTAGACGCGCTTTTGCGCAAAAAAGCCCCGATTGCCATTTTTGTGATTGGGGCTTTTTTGTGGAAAACAAATCTCACCTGTCTGCACTGGCCCTTTTGCGCAAAAGTTTTGCACAAAAGGGACTTTTGCCCGAACGGGAGCAGCATAGTATTTCTGCAAGAACAGTGACGATCTTACATGAGATCGTCAGTGTTCTTGCGGAAATTCAAGCGGCCAGTGTAGACAGCTGGCAAGTTTTTCCGCAAAATCAAATGATTTTGCAGAAAAACTTG